TAATAATCATAGATCATCAACAAAAATAATGTTGATACAATCATGATTAAAAAGGAATGATAATATTGATACTACTTTTGATAGTAATAACAATGGTAATCATAATGGTAATTATGATAAAAGTAAGAACATCAGAAGTATGATAATTATTATTACTATTATTTTAATACACCATCATCTGTAACAGTAATGCTGACGACCATCGCAAACTCACAACGGCATTTTCCAACTATCCCTCGATAGCTATTATCCAATTATCCATTACTCACATTATCCTTCTCTTGACCCTCGATACGATCTCACGCCCCCCCCCCCCCCCGCCTCTGCCGCAGCCATGGAGGTAAACGAACCGAAGTACAGGACGGCCGTCGGCGTCCTCATCTTCCTCCCGTTTGCTCTCGCCGTCATCGTCCTCGGGGGCTACGGCTACCTCCTGCGGGACTGGCGCTGGCTCAGTGTCACGACCTCCCTGCCATGCCTGCTGTTCCTGCCGATGCTCCTGTGAGTGCTTGTTCTTGCTGAGGGCTTGGGTCCAAGTGGCCTTTTTTATATATCTTGCATATTCACTCATTCAGTCTACCTCCCCTCTCTCTATCACACACAAATTTAAACACACAAATAACAAAACTGCCATTTCGTTTCCAGGCTGCTGGACGAATCGCCACGCTGGCTGATCGTGCGCGGACGTTACGACGATGCGCTGCGCGTCCTCCGGAAAGCTGCGCGCTGGAACAAAGCTCAGCTGCCGCCCGAGGAGGAGCTCCGCGCCCTCATGGACCACATCAGGAAGGAGGTGACCGGGCTTTGACTGAGGCTGATTAGTTGTCTCATGGTTCTGTTTATTTGTTGGACGCTTGCAGTGGCAATATGAAGTTGGATTTGCCTAAAGGAAATACAGCGGATAAAATTAGAAAGTATAGTTTGAGCAAAGCTGCTCGTATTTCAAGAACATTTATTGTTAACGATGAATGCAAACACAGTAGAGAGACAATGCAGTCAGTAAAAGGTTTGGACTTATTGCGCCATCATGACTTTTACTCGATTTTTTTTTTTATTTGACCGTGCATGTCAATAGCATCCAAAAATTCCGGAATTTTAAAGCGATACAAGACTAGACCTCTAAAAAAATACTGGCACGAACGTCACTGGATTGGAATTTTGAGATACTGGAAGCAATTAATGTAATTTTACAAAGTACCTATAGCAATAGTTTCGTTTTCCTCACAACCTTTTATTTGCTAAGCTTAGGGAAAAGTACCATCTAATGTACCATGCGTAGGCTTTAACATTATAAAAAACCGCACTGATGTTCAACAGGCACTGACAGCGACTGCGGAAGACGATGTGACCACCTCAGGGCATGTCAAATCCTTGAAGAATATAACGAAAGATGTTTTTGTGCTTGTAAGGTGAGTCTTGTTATTTCAGTTTTACCTTCTCGTGCTGACATATTTGCTGTGATGAATATAATTGATGTTCACAATAACAATGGCATTACGATGACCTATTACGTTCGCAAGTGTTGACATTGGTATTCTTGCATGTACTTTCTGCGTATAAGACCATGTACCTACGGTACAAATGTAGGATTCTATTTTCAGGAAGGTATTCTGGAGGCTATTTGAATGAGTATTGTAATGGCGCAATGGAGGAACGAGTGTGATAAAATTCGAATTACTTCTTGAAATGGAAATGCATTTTCAACACAAACGTTCG